TTGTTCAAAGCAACCTAGTCTCAAAAGCCTTGGATATTAGGCTTAGGAAACGATTTACATTATGTCACGGTTGAGGGAAAGATAGAGCTTAGAATTCTTTGATTTATTTGCTTCATTGATGGTTGTAGGTGATCGTCTCGCTAGGATGTGCTGTTCGACAACTAATAGACAACTCACTTGATGCATCTGCACAATCAATAGGTATCGGTTACTTTATTCTGTATGATGTCGGATTGTTTAGTATTAAAGTATTCCCTTTCATATACCTGGGCTTTTCTCCTCATACCAATCTATTCTTATTCACAATCCCATTTGCCCTTGATGCATAACCCAGAAGCTCGATTCATTCTGTTTTCTGGATCCACAAGTTGTAGACCTGTAGTCAGTGGCCATAGATAAGCCACCAGTCGGAGTAGTTCTTGCCCTCCTAGCCCATAATTAAGTGCTTTGGCGAAGGCCTGCGCTTAATGTTTATTGCAGAAATACGTGTGAGAAACAACGGATACGAGTCTGTGGAAATAATCGATGACGGCACTGGTATCGAGTCCAATAATTTCGATTCCCTTTGTGAGTTTATTTTGTTGGTTGAACGCCTTCATTTCCAGGACCTGATCAGTTAAGTAACAAATGAGTTCAGTGGTGTTCGCAAATTATGGCGCTCTTTAGAAAGTAATTTACAGGTAAACCACATTCTACCTCGAAACTAAGTGGGTTGAATGATTTTGGTCGTCTTTCTATGTACACTTGAATTCCGTGGTGAGGCACTCAATGCTCTTTGTGCATTGGCGTGAGTTTTCATTTAACATGTACTTATACTTAGCTCCGCAGAGACTCGAATAGAATCAGCAAATTTTTATCGTTTTGGTATTTTCTAATAGGGACCTTATTGGTTGGGTGCTTTTAGGTCCATAACCGTGATAACTCGACATCGCTCTGACCACCTTGGTACCAAACTACGACTTGATCACAGTGGAAACATCATTGAAAGTGTATCTGCAGCCAGATCGGTGAGTTTCAAAGTGATTAGTTGAGAGATTTCTTTGGAATCTTCAAATTAGGGTGATTAGAGATGATCTAAGACCGGAAGGAAATGTAGTTTTCAGTTTATGTGAATATGTTCGTTTGACCACTGTAATCGTCGAAAATCTTTTCGAAACGCTCCCAGTCCGTAGAAAAGAATTCGAAAAGACTTCTAAAAAGAGGCAATGGAAAATGGTCAAAATGCGCCAGCTACAGCCCAAGCATTCGAGCCAGCCGACCTCCGAGTTTGACAGACCAAATTTTACAAGAGCAACAAGAGGCTGACTCAGAAGTCTATAATATTCTACAAGAGAAGTCAGATTTTGAAGTATACAAATCTATACAAATTTTCCAAGCCCCTCTAAGCCTTAAAAGGTGACCAGTTTTCCGTCCAAAAAACGTCTGGCGCCTTTTTAGGCACTCTTCGAGGAGCAATGGGGAGAGCTTATAGACGCTCACTATGCTCAGGTGGATGTCTACTATCAGCTGATCACTATGAACACTATGGGCACCCTGAACGAATGAACCCTATGGCATGCGGCAACTTCACCGATTGAGAATAGAAGAAAGCATTGAATAATTCGTTCGCCTCTATCAGATGCCGCTCTGTTGCTATGAAGTACATAATTCTCGTATCATGGTCTCAGTCGAACATGCTATGGAGTGGAATTCCTGATGATGCTGAGACCTCCGAAAGAAAAAAATATTTTTCAGTGGTTGCAGACGCCTTTTCGAACTATCCGGAAGTCTTCACCAGAAACCAAACGACGACAAAAGCGATCATAGATTGCCAGGTATGGCAATCTACGACCTTTGTCGGAGACCATGTTGTAGTAGCTGGTCCATTAGCGAGATGCAAATTCCCGATTCCTCGTCACTAAGATGGGAGCGCGTATGAACCTGTACGGAGTTTCCTTCGACGTTGATCAGAGCGGATAGAACGTGAGGATTCGGGAAATTGACGGGGTCTAGAGGCAAGGTCCTT